TCATTCATTATCAAATATAAAAACATAGGTTTGGAATATTCTCTTTACACTTCGATTTAATTTGAGGGTATATTTTTTTGTAATTCCAAAAATTTTTTTACAGTTTCTTCTTGCTGTTTTTTGAAAATACAATAAATCTATTTCTTTTTTAATAAATAAAATTTTAATATAGGCATTGATTGTTTATTATTAGGCACCTAAAAGTATGCAATAGATTTGTGTTTGAAACTAGACTATCCATCGATTTACCATGAATCTAAATTATCAAACCAAAAATTAACCAAATTAAAAAGAGATAGATTATAGGTTATACAGATTCAGTGGAACCTCTAGGTCCATTTATATATACGAGCAACAAATTCTTGAAAAAACTTTTGTATGGCTTTTTACATTGTAAAGTCGTAATTCAGGCTTTAGTCTCCTCAACGTTGCCCAATTTTAAATTCGTATAATATAACATATAAACCCTTCAAACCCCCAGTATATTTTTTGTAGCCCAGTGTAATCTATATCATACACTTTTTGTGTCTTCTTTTTCTCCCCTTCTCCCCTTTGATTTATTTTCTTTCACATGTTTTGTTTTGAGTTTGTTTTGTATTGTTATTTAATGGTTTAAAAAAACAGTAGCCTTAAATTAAAGTAGCCTCACTAGTTGCGTACATTTCCGTTTTTTTTCGATTTTCGTCGACATCAATAAAAAATAATAAAAATTAAAGAAAAAAAACAAAAACAAAGAAATAAATAACAATAGAATGGAAGAATTGGGTAGGGAAGTTGATCACTATTGGTTTGGTTTCAAAATAAAAAAAAAACTAACTTCAAACTACTCTCGTTTCGCTCTAAATAATTTCATCTAATTTGTAATTTCATTTAATTTACATGTGCTTTTTTTGTTATTGTCGTTCTATAGCATTTGTTTTTCATTTTCCCCTTTTGTTGCTTTTATTTTATTTCTATTTAAGTGAGTCAATTTTTTTGTAAACATGCATTTTGCTTGCATTCACTGGTTGAATGAATGAATGAATGACGGTGAAACTGGTTGACTAGTTTTAGAAATTAACCGTTTAAAATTTTATTTTTTTTAATTTTATTATTCAAGTTCTGCTATCAGTTTTAGAAACATTAAACGGCATTGAAGTTGTTTTTTTATTTTGTTTTATATTTCCAGGGGTCATACGATGATAACTTTATTTGAAAAGTTTGAAAAGTTGACACACATTTGAAATTTGAACTTTCAGTATTTGTATAAGAGGTTCTTAATCGACATACATTTTTTATATTAGAAGAATCTAAAGACAGTTTTTTATGTACAGAAATTATATACTGGAAAAATAGATATATAAAAGAGTTGAAAATTTAATCTTTCTGCAGCGACCTTCTAACAAATTCCCCCTCTATAGAGGAGGTTTCTTACTAATTTCACTCGATCTCAATTTGTTTATAAATCCTGTTTAAAGTTTTTCTGTATAGAATCGCTTTATAAGGTCGACCAGACAAAATGTTGCTCCTTTATTTCTTCTTTTTAAACCCTTCACCACACTGTGGTTCAAGGTAGTATGTCTTTGTGTATATGTTTGTAATAGGCAAAAGGAAAGGAGATAGAGACATGGTTCCTTTTGAGAATATGCATAGAACCACTTTCCATTCATGTCAGCTCAGATTTAGACAAAGCTCCCATATATATGTTCGTCCGATTTAATGTAAATAGTGTACCAAAGTCCCTATATATCCTTCAATTTGGTCGAAATTTCGCATAGAGTACTGAATTGAGTCTAGAACAATGATGTGTGCTAAGGGAAAATCGGTTCCGGTTCCCACATATATATATTTTCTTCCTATGTTAGATAAATGGTGCACCAAACTCCGAATGTTTGTCCGATTGACATGAAATTTTGCACAACGTTTCATATTGAGAATAGCTTAGGTTGCAGATAGGCATGTGTATGTTAATTCGAGGGAGCATTGACATGAAATTGTTAAGATACATATGTTCAATATACCTAAATTGGTGAAGGGTATCATATAGTCGACCCAGTCCAATTTTACGACTTTCCTTACTGTTTTGTTTTATTCATTATTTTCTTTTACTTTTGTTATGGTAATTTCCCTTCAGTTCTCATTTTTATTTCCTAATATTTTCATACTTGTTTCCCTTCCTTTAAAGTGAAACCATATTTTCCTAACTCCGACTATTAAACTATTTTACAACTTAATACCTCACAAAATGAAAATTTTTTATTTCCCTTTCTTTTATCATTAAAAAACAATCAATAATTGTCAATAACAACAACAATAAAAATTAGAATGGTCGAACTAATGAGGTCATCACTTTTAAAAACTACCGAAAAGTTCCAGATCAGTCCCGTGTGCTACTAATAACAATAAAATATTAAATAACAATCATAAACAAAGCTACACCTTTCCCCTTGGCGAAAAAAAACAAATTCGCAAATTTATCAAAATTGATAAATAATTAAAATTTCATTATATTTATTTAGAACAAAAAAAAAACACACACACACAACCCAAAAAATAACAACAAAAAAGTGTCAAAGAAAAACACACGTCAAAAACTCATCAAGAGGTTAGTGAAAAAATGAAACAAACCCCACAAAAAAATTCACACCCTTTAATAACTGATATGACTGGCACACCAACCAACAACTGATGAGATGAAGTGCCAGACAATGCTGATAATCAAGTGGTCTTGTCTTCATTGAGACATTTTCGCCATCCGAACAGAATGGTGGGGAATTTGTTCTGGGGTTATGGATTTCCTTTGAAAGCTTTTTTGCCGGTAGTGTACTACGTGCTAACTAAGGCGAATGTCAGTCTCATTTGTATCGTTGTATTATTAATTTGGTCATATGCGATAACACAGCTGTTGTACAGAGCAGTGCAGGGCAGGACAGGGATATGCACTTTTGATGCGTCACTTTAATAAATTAATACGAATTTATTTTTTTATTAAACGGATTATTTGTGACTAAGTTATTTTTAGAAATACGCCACAGACGTTGGAATAAGGGGAAATATAAATACACTCCATACTTCTTGAAGAATGTTAGGGAATGTTATAAAACTCCCCTCCAATAAAATTTGCTAATTTCTTCCTAATATTAATTAAGTTTTGTTTTTTTTTTCTTTCTTCTTCAATTGAGAACGAATACCACTTCGCCACAGATAAAAAGCATTGAAGGAGAGGTAATAAAATTGTTGTTGTAATACTTGCAATAAATCGAAATTAAAATAAAAAGTTGGTTGGTTTTTTATTCCCCCAGTATACATACATATATACAGAGTATTAAAATTGACTAGAAATTCCAGAACCTTTAATTTTCTTTTTATATTTTCGGCATAGTAGAATTGGCTTGATCGAATAATAAATTTTCTATAAAGATATCAAACTTTCAAAAAACTATTAATTTACATTTTTGGCAGAAAAGACCCGACTTTATTGTTCTTTAGATAAAAACATATTTTTTATAGAACACTACTTTTGGAAAAACTATAATTGACCGTTAGACACCAAAATATGGACTATGTTGTTGAAAACGTATCGCGAATGTTGAAGTTTCGTGTATTTGATTTTCTTCCTTTTTCTTATCGGTTCAGATTTAAATATAGCTCTCATATATATTATCCCCGATTTAATGTAAATGGTGTACCAAAGCCCCTACATTTCTTTCGATTTTCACGAAAGTTGGCACAGCGTACTTAATTGAGTCTGGAATGACGTGTGCTAAGTTTAAGGTTCAGATTTAGATATGGCTTCCATATATTTTCGTCCGATTTTATGTAAATTGTGCACTAAAGACCCAAAGTTTGTTCGATTGACACACAATTTTGTACAATGAGCTGAAGTTAATATAAATTAATCTCTGGCTAGTTTCGTTGAAATCGGTTCAGATTTAGATATAGCTCCCATTTATATTTTCCATCTTCGAAACAGGAAAATATTTGTGTGGACTATTAAAATCACATTATAATAAATAATATTTTCAAATTGAGTCAATAAATATCTAAGCAGCAATGATCCACTGCCCGATTACTCCATAATGTTTTAAAATATAACATTTCAAAATGTACCTTGATGAAATACAAAATTTAAAAAAGAACAATCTGTGGAAAATACAAATATGATCAGCTGTTTTATTTTTCAAATTTCTTTGCACTGACAAAAAACTCATTTTCTCAAAAAACCGGTAAATAAAAACAAAAACACACAACTCATCTCAATTAGAAAACACGTGAAAATAACACACGCGCTCTCTCTCTCTCTATTCGTCTCTCACACAACGCTCTGCAACGCCATAACATACCTATGCACATCATTTGTATCTGATGGTTTGTTTAACGCTTCTACCGTTAACTACTAAAAACATAAAATTGAACTTGAGAGTTGTATCTCCAGCTGTTTCAACTGCAGCTACTTACAAACAAAATATACGTACACACATTCAACATAATGTTGTTGGACATCCGATGTCCGACCAGCCGACCGATAGTTACCGCCAGATGTTTGCCTGCCTCATGCTACAATGTAGGGTACATTTTGTTTTAAAGCTGTCATAATTGACCAGGTTTATTTGAGCGGTGGTTTTATTGTTTTACAGACACTTTTCATTGTTGTTATTGTTTTCCTATGATGCCGCAGCCCAACCCGGCTTGATGGGGCTGGCTAAACGTCATTGTTATTATTATGTTTTTTTTTGGTGTATGTTTTTATCTACCATTTATTGTCTAGTTGTTTTTCTTTCTGTTTTTTATTCTCATGTGTATTAATTTCTATTTTGCTCTCTTTTTTTCTTTTTTGACTCGTCTCGTTCCATGTCCAACCATTCAATCATGTCTTGTTGCCGCTACGGTATGGTTTGGTGCCTCTTGTTGTCGGATTTTATTACGCTCGTCGCTCGCTCTCATCATCATCGTCATCCTCAACAATAACAACGCTGAAACAAAAACGAAAATCATCATCGAAATAACAATAACAACTACAGGGTAAAGTATCGCACGAATCCATCAAACAGTTGGTACTCGAAGCAGAGCATTTAGTACGTGACGAAGCTTTGAAAACACCAACCAAGCAAAAGCATTCCATCAACAGTGGCGGTCTGGTGCAGATATCGTCAACCATTAAAAAACGTGAAGTTAGTATAATGCCGGGTCCCATAAAGCGAGTTCAGGTATGTGACAATGTTGTTGGCGTCCTTAAAATTAAACCAGAGATTAATTTGTTTTTTGGTCTCTTTGTCTAGGAATGGCTCGAACATCAACCCACCACACCGGTCCAATTGAAAACTCCACAGGATCATCAGCTGATGATATCACCCTCTAGTGTAGCCGCAAGTCCATCTCGCACCGATGACTGTGAGGCATCGGGTGAAGCTTCCGAAACCGATTCCATTCCCCAACACTGCTCCGATGATACCTCGGAGGGTTTCACTGAATCCATTGCCACTTGTATGCAAACCAGCACCAATTCCTATGGCAATTCCACCGAACGCATGGGTGGTTCCGCTGAGCCCATGGTGGTGCCGGGCAGCAATCAGAGTTTGAATGTAAAGGTAATTAAACGCCAGCAGTCACGTCGCAAATCCGAAAGACCCTGGTCGGTATCTTGCCTATCACAATTGACCACCGATGCCAAACAAGTGGCGGCCAAAGTCAGCACCATCAGCAATGTTCAATCTGGTTTGGCTTCGCATTCCATAAGTGAATCGGCATTGGACTCATTGTCGCCAGGCAGACCACGCACCTCATCGACAGCGGCTCAAGTCAAGAGCTATGACAGCAAGGGTTCACTAAAGCGGCGCAAGACACGCAAGAAGAAGCTTAGCTACAATACAAATGGCAAAAAGTCTGACACCAACTCGGAAGATAATCTGGAACAGACAGAATTGAATAAATATGGCAGCAGTAACAACAACATGATTCTATCGTCTTCTGAGTCAATGACACCACAGCAAATGGCAGAAATCACCCAAGCATTGTTGCAATTACAAAATAGCAATAACAACACCAACAATAGCAATAGTAATAGCAATGGTAATATTGCCAGCACCTCGGAACAATTGATTAACAATTGTCCTACAGGAGCGGTAAATCCAACAACATCGAATGCCGACAGTGGTGAAGAAGAAAATCATTTGATGAAACCCAATTTCCGTGTGGGTTCCTTTACGACCGCCTACATGACCAATGAAGCCCGTTTGGGTTCTTTGGCCAAATTGGCAACATATATGAATGATGAGGAATTACAAGGAGGTAAGTACACGATGAGAGTGTTTGAGTGAGAAAGAAGAAATACCTGCACATGCTTCGAACACAGAGTGTGCAAGTGTCTCTGTGTGTGTGTTTTTGTTTTTATTATTTATTTTGTGTTTGTTTTTTATTTAGTTTTAACAAGTGTTTTTCGGTTCTGTTTTTTCTTTTTTAACATTGTTTGAGTTTTCTTGGTTTGGTTTCGTTTTCGAGTTAAGTTCTGATATATTTACTTATGAGCGGCAAAATTTGTTAGATCTGATATAAATGTATATTTATCAAACTTATCAAGTTTGAAACTAAATTCCTTAGGTCTGTCATCTTTTCACAGCTGTGTTAGGTGCATTCCATCCATCCTATTTGGAAAGTCACTATGATATTTCTCCCTAGATACATTTTTGCCTTTATTTTTTTTTTATTTTATATTATTTATTTTGATATTATTTTTTCTTCAAAAAATTCTATAATTTTATGATTTGCCATTTTCTTGTGTATGTTATAACAGTTTGGTATAACTATATTTCTGAAACAAATATTTAACTGAGTCAAATCTATATTTTCACTTTTCAAGCTGTCACTCCTGTTCCTTCGCATACACTCAAACCAAGAGGTATTTTTTTTAAATATTGTAGTGGACTAGTTGAAATTCTACAGTTTTTGGTAGACAATTTTTAGAAACATATTACCTTTTTTAGATCTACGCATGACGTTTTTTCTTTACATATAATAATTATAATTTTTGATACAGTACATTTAGTCCCTTATATTCCATATCGTTATTAATTAGTGTACAAATTTTTTAAATCTAACTCTATCCCTCAGACTTGTATCCAAAAAAAGTAACTCTATCTGTATTTTATCAACACATTAATTTATTTTCTTAGTTTTTTTTCTAGGTAAATTTTAAATGAAAAGTTGCTATGATTATGATCAGATTCAAATTGAGTCATATTGCCATCCAAAGGCCAATTTTACTAGATGAGCACTTCCATGACGTTTAGAAACTTCATATTTGGTCCGAAATTCGCTTATAACGACGGCTAAGGGTTCGTCGAATTTGGTCTCCATAAATGATAGTCCTTATAAGTGGTGTTCTCCAAGGATTGTATTCTCGAGTTGCTTCCCAAATACATAATTGTGAATACGATCCTATTTTCCTTGATAGCCTTATTGATCTATAAGCTCTATTTTATAACTCTGGACCTATCTCTCTTTCTCATGAAGATCCTTTTCGACTTGCCTGGGTGGTGGAGGCCTTTCCATAATGTGTGCTTCGGATGGCTGCTTTTATAACTCCCACAACAACATCTTGTTGTGTTGACTTTTAGTCTATTTATGTGGTCTATTGGACTCATGAGGGTCTCCTCATTGTAGTCCTCTGGGCGGGATTTCGACATGATTGAAAGTTCTTACAGGCGGCTTCTTACTCACTGGCGGCTTATCACGGTATTGGTTGTAAACAAGGTTTCTTTATCAATTCACTAGTGACAGAACATTGTTCCTGACCTTATTGCAAGTTGCTGTGGAACGACTTTATAGGCTATCGAATATGGCATCTAGAAGTAATTAGTGGTCGAAATTAGATATACGCAGTCGAGGCAAAAAGTCGACTTTTCGATTTTTGACTTTGACTAAAAGTTGTCTTTGCGATCCTTCAATTTTGCCAAACCTGTTCAAATCGATTTCCGACTTTTACCAACAATTGTGTCAACAGATAAATAATTTTTGGGCAATTTTGGTTTTGTGAAGAAGAAAATCGAAAGTCGATTTTGAAAAGTCGACTTTGCGATTTCCCCACATATAAAAATTTTGACTTTCCTATACAAAAAGTCGATTAGTCGATTTACTTATTCCTAGTCGAAATTATGAACACATCCAATTCTAATTCAGAGTTAGCTGCCTCTCCGCTGATATTTTCATATATCTCCTTTGGATCAAATGTGCTATGTCCGTGAGATAGTTGTTCAACATAAGGCAGATGTACTTTGGTCCATTTCGAATGTACTTTATTGCTTTGATTGTTGATCATTCCTGTCCATGATCGAGTAGTATTTGAGCCTTCCAACTTGTTACCGATAAGAACAAATTCGACATCCAAACTATAACGGTTTTGAACTGTTCCGTTCAGTCCGTTCGTTGAAAACACCTGGAGTTGTGTTTTAATAGTTTCTTATAATATCATTATTAACATTGGTCCCTTCTTCAATAAATTTTTCAATTTCGTAATTTTTCAAACCTTAATTTTTTGTAGAGTCCCTAAAAAGATATACAGTCCGCTTAGATTTTTTGTATCTTCTTTCAGTTAAAACTGTTGGGTTCTCCATCTGTTTTATATTATAACACTTCTTATTACGAGTATTTTCTTATATTACACTCTATTAGATACCATAAATTTACTGGTCATAAGTTATTTCAAAAACAAATAAACAAATCTTTTCCCTATTCGTATAAAAAAGTACATTGCTCGGTCATAAAATACTCGCCACTATCTAAACATATAAATCCCCATAGCGCCCAAACTTATACAATATCCACAAACAATGATATTCGAACCCTGTACTATCTCTCACACAGCATGATAAACACTTGGCAGTTTTTTTGCAAATGTTTATATTCTATCATTTGTGTATATATCTAAAAATTAATTTGAAACTTTTCACTGTGTTGTGCATGCTCATCTTTACCCCTTCTTTTCTATTTACATATATATGTGTAGAAAATTCCTCAATATATACGATTTTTTTTAAATATTATTATTAATAACAAATTTCTCTTTTCTCTATTTTCGTTCATTAGAGTATACAACGGGTACAGAAGATCATCATAGCAGTTTCTCGGAGACAGCCTGGGATAATTATCAAGAGAAATATAATTCCGAAAATTATTCTGAAGGTTTTGATTCGGATGCTGCACGCAAATTATTGGAATTTGGTGATGACTATCGGTAAGTTCACAACACACAAGAGTAAAAAATATTTAATTCAATTTAATTTTTTAATATTATTATTTTTTCAATTTCCGCCTTGCAGCAATTTCATTGACTCACAATCGGATTGTTGTTCTTCATTGTCGGCTGCCAACAATTTGGATTCACTCTCACCACCGCGCATGGATTCATTGCAACAAAACGAAACTAAAATTGTCATAACACAAGATACAATTGTCAGTAGTGTGGATCATGCCAGACGACGTAGAGCACTTGAATTGGAATACGAAAGACGCCGCAAAAATCTTGAGATCAGACGTAAATCTTGTCAAGGTAATTGGGCGCACTGCACCACCACCACAGGCGCAAATAATAACAAAAAAATACGAAAATAATTAATATACTAAAAAAAGTTGCAAAAAAACTAAAGTAAAAAATATGAGTGCATGTGTGTGGAAGTAGGCAAAAAGAAAGTTAGGAGGGTGTTCTATTAATGAAGAGGAAAAGTGACAAGTGAAACGAATTCGATTTGGAAAATAGAAATATGAAGATTGAAAACGCCTATTTGGATACTTGCAAAATATTAGTGATAACCAATGTTTGAATTTTTGTATAAAACTTATGTAGTGATTCCTCTCTAATTTCTATATAATAAGCGTATTATATAAAATTCAACATTTTCAAATAATTCATCTTCAAATAATTCCTTATTTGAAGTACTTGAAAGGTATTTTCTTAGAGTGTTTGAATTTAAAAATGGTTAATGTTTTGGTATAGCCAGATCAAATTGTAGTATTGAAATGGGTTTGAACGATTCCGAATAATTTTAAATACGGTTCGGCTGGTATGAAATTATTTAGAGTGTAGAATACTACCTTGAAAAAATTGAAATCAATTTGAAGAGGTTTTGAGACTATTTTCTATAATGGTATAGTTACACGCTCGTTTGGTATCTTTATAGGTCTATCATACAATTTTCAAAAAAAGAGTTGTAGTATTGAATTGCGTTAGAACGGTTCCAAATCATTTTAAATACTATGGAAATACTATGAAAATATTTAGTTTGTAAAATACTACCTTGAACAAATTTGAATGGGTGATTTGGTATCTATATAGGTCCTTCTATACAATTTTCAACAAAGATCCATTTTCCAATTTTGGAAAATAAATAAATGGGTGAACTCTAAGATAAACCCACTTAGTTAACCGAATTTCAGTTTATTGTAAGGGTATACAATTTTTCCTTTTACGATTTCGTTTTCTAATTTCCCTTTGTATTATCTAAATATTTTTTTCAGAATCATTGGACTATCCAAATCCCAAGAGTCCAACAATTGCTGCCCTCTCCTCGTCCACCCAGGCATTGACACCGAAAAATTCGGAACGTTTCAATTTCCAACAGCATAAATTAGATTCGGCTACACGTAAATTGGAATTCGGTATGAGTCATTCGGCTCAGTCGTTGAGACGCACCTCAGAAAGTGATACGTCACAGAGACGTCGCAAGGCCGACGAACGTAGACGTTCATCACGCAATTTGGAAAAATGTATTAAACTGATACCAGCCACTTCATCGTCATCGGGCGATGACAGTGATGATGAAAAGGAAATTCGTAATTTATTGCATCAATCACAAAATCGTTTGGATGATACCAAGGCTTTGAAAATACGTTGTCATCTTTTGAGACCAGAGGATTATGTGAGTAGTTGTAATTAAATTAATCCAAACCATATATTAATATTTTTTGTTTACCTTTCAGACTGAAATTATCAATACTTGCCGTGATAATATACGCTGTTTAGAATCGGTTTTAAAAGGTCCCTCCAGTTCGGTACTCTCCACACAATGTGTTAGCCAATCGAAAGGTGAGTTAACCGTTTACATACATCTCAATTGCCAATGTGCGCCCATTACCCGCTTTATAGCCCGTGTCATAGATTTCATATTGGATGTCAGCAATTTCTTGCAACATTTTACGTTATATAAGTTTTTCCTCAACACCTTGAGGCAACTATATGAATTGGCCAATTGTCATTTGACACAAATCGAAAAAGCTTTAGAATATTTACGTAGTTTATTATAAGTTAAAGGCATTAAATTTGAATACAAAGATCATGTTATAGATCGGTTTATTTCTTTCCAAAGAAATTGCATATTTTTGTGATATTTACATACAATATTGTTTGAACAAAGGCTTTAATTATTATTATTTGGTTAAAATTTATTACGAGCATTTTTTGTTTATAATTTCCATTTGTTTCATAGTGTGGTATTGAGTAGAGCTTTAATACATTTTTCTTTTTCTTTAAAATTATAAACATACTATAATGTTATTTTCCTAATTTGACAAGAGCTTTAATCTGATTTTGTTTTTTCTTCAATTCAAAATTGTTTATAATTATTATAATACGGAATATTTTCTTATTATTACTTACTATTATCATTTATTATCAATTCAAAATAAATTGTTGCATTGGCTCAACAACAAAAAAAGAACATAAAACAATCAAAGACTTTTTATTTCCCATATTTCCATATGGTAATTTGCAATAAATTGACTTTTATGTTTGTTAGTCCGTTTGTAGTTGTTTTTTATTATTATGATTTTCTTTTACACTTTGTTGTTGATGTTTTCTTTATTTAGTTCCACTTAAAATTATTAAAATATTAATGTCTTTGTAGAAAGATTGAAAATTTAGTCTTCTTTTTGTGATTGTGTCTATAGAATGGCAATGGGCTCACATTGTAGTTGTTAATGTAATAATGATATTTTTATTCATAATAGTTATTTTTATAATGTATAATAACATTGTTAACAATTTTATTATTTTGGTTGTTTGTCTGTCAAAGAAAAGCGATAATTATTCTGTTCTGTTGTCTTAATTATATTTTTATAAAATGAAAACTGTATTTAGAAACTAAAATATATATCCAAAAACTATACGATTTATTTACCTAACATATAAATCGTATAGTTTTTTTGGGTCGAATTTTCAAAATGTTTTAGAGAATTATTGGAAAAAGTACACCTTTTTGAAAAAAGCAGAAAAACTGTTTTTATAATATTTCCTATAGTAATACTACAATTTATGTTTTAATTTTCGACAATTTGAAAAGTTATTCTATTACAATACAAGATTCACGAAAAATTGTCCCCGAAATAAGAATGTATTGTATTATAATTCTTAACAACACGTTACAATCCTCAGGAGAAAATTTTCAAAATAGTTTACGAGTTTAAATTGCAATCAGATGAAAAAATAGATTGTTTCGAATATAGATTGTTGAGAAAATATAAATATTTACTGAATTGTCTTTTGCTCAAATTAGATATGACCCTGGAAGAACTAAAGAACCTGTACCATTTTCGTAATTTTGAAATTTTAGTCCTTAATTCCTACCTGGTTATACCCTTCACCACACTGTGGTACAGGGTATTATGTCTTTGTGCATATGTTTGTAACAGGCAAAAATAATCGAGATAGACCCATGGTTCCTTTTGAGAATATGCATAGAATCACTTTCTGAGTCGATTTACGCATGTCCGTCTGTAAAGTCCGTCCGTCCGTCTGTCCATGTTAAATTGTAAACAAAGTACAGGTCGCATTTATGATCCGAATTGGATGAAATTTGGCATAGGTCACTTATTTAGCTCCCATATATATATTTAACCGATTTAATGTAAACAGTCCCTATATAACTTTCGATTTGCACGAAATTTAGTACAGCCTAATCATTTAGGTCTAGAATGATGTCTGCCAAGTTTCGTGAAAATCGGTCCAGATTTAGATATAGCTCCCATATATAGTTTCGTCCGATTTCATGTAAATGGTGCCCCAAAGTCCCTATATATCTTTTGATTTGCACGAAATTTGGCATAACGTACTGAATTAAGCCTAGAGTGATGTCTGCCAAGTTTCGTGAAAATCGGTCCAGATTTAGATATAGCTCCCATATATAGTTTCGTCCGATTTCATGTAAATGGTGCCCCAAAGTCCCTATATATCTTTTGATTTGCACGAAATTTGGCATAACGTACTGAATTAAGCCTAGAGTGATGTCTGCCAAGTTTCGTGAAAATCGGTCCAGATTTAGATATAGCTCCCATATATAGTTTCGTCCGATTTCATGTAAATGGTGCCCCAAAGTCCCTATATATCCTTCGATTTGCACGAAATTTGGCATAACGTACTTAATTGGGCCTAGAATGATGTCTGCCAAGTTTCATGAAAATCGGTCCCGATTTAGATATAGCTCACATATATAGTTTCGTCCGATTTCATGTAAATGGTGCCCCAAAGTCCCTATATATCTTTTGATTTGCACGAAATTTGGCATAACGTACTGAATTAAGCCTAGAGTGATGTCTGCCAAGTTTCGTGAAAATCGGTCCAGATTTAGATATAGCTCCCATATATAGTTTCGTCCGATTTCATGTAAATGGTGCCCCAAAGTCCCTATATATCCTTCGATTTGCACGAAATTTGGCATAACGTACTTAATTGGGCCTAGAATGATGTCTGCCAAGTTTCATGAAAATCGGTCCCGATTTAGATATAGCTCACATATATAGTTTCGTCCGATTTAATGTAAATGGGGCCTCAAAGTCCCTATATATCTTTCGATTAGCACGAAATTTGGTACAGCCTAATCATTTAGGTCTAGAATGATGTCTGCCAAGCTCCGTGAAAATCGGTCAAGATTTAGATATAGCTACCATATATAGTTTCGTCCGATTTCATGTAAATTGTGACCAAAATCCATATATATCTTTCGATTTGCACGAAATTTGGCATAACGTACTGAATTGAGCCTAGAGTTATGTCTGCCAAGTTTCGTGAAAATCAGTCCAGATTTAGATATAGCTCCCATATATAGTTTCGTCCGATTTCATGTTAATTGTGCACCAACATCCATATATATCTTTCGATTTGCCCGAAATTTTGCACAACGTACTGAATTGAGCCTAGAGTGATGTCTGCCAAGTTTCGATAAAATCGGTCCATATTTCTATATAGCTCCCACATATAGTTTCGTCCGATTTCATGTAAATGGTTCACCAAAGTCGCTATATATCTTTCGATTTGCACGAAATTTGGCATAACGTACTGAATTGAGCCTAGAGTGATGTCTGCCTTGTTTCGTGAAAATCGGTCCAGATTTAGATATAGCTCCATTTTATTATAGATTGATTTTATGTAATTGACGCACCAAGGAACCAATAGGAACAAAACGTTCTAAAGTTAGTATAACCTAACCTGTGACAAGTTTGTTTGAAATCGCTTAATATGTGGATATAGCTTACATATATTTTTTCGCCCGATATCAAGCAAATTGGGCATCATACTCCTCATGTTAGTCAGATTGACATCAAATTTTGCACAACGTACAAAATTGAGCATAGAATTACGTAGTTGCGTTTTCTAGAAGTACAGACATAGTCAACCGGATGACCTATTTATATTTGTTTGAAGTCGATTTACACACTTTATGGACAAATCTAGGTAGATTCACATTTAGATAAATATCACATATTTTATTTCATCCAATTTCATGTTAATAGTCCTGTTTAATGTACCCATAGTGGTGAAGGGTATCCTAGAGTCGGCCCCGTCCGACTTTACTACTTTCCTTACTGGTTATAATTTGACTTTCCGGGCAATTGGAGGCTGGCATACACCCATGTAGAAAATTATCAATAGAAGTCCATGCTTTAAAGGTTTAGCCACATTTCCAAAGTGGCTTTAATTTTTGCTGAATATTTTGGATATAAGTCCCCATGTAAAGATTCCACACCGTTTTCGTTAATTTGCGGGCTTTTTAATATTTGCCGAATATTTTGGATTTGGCATAGCTTCATATAATAGCCCTCCCCATTATTTTGAAGAACTTAAACGCATTTTAGCCCGCCAAAGAGGCAGCAATTTGGCATTCCGGTTCTTTGGAGAATGAAAATCAGTGCTGAAAATTTTGGATATAATATCATGTTTTGATATAGTTCCATATAATAATCCCTGATCATTTTCGGTATTTTTAACGTTTGGTTCCCATTTTTCCACCGAAGTGGCAGTATATTGGTATTTGAATTTCAGAACTAAAAAGTTTAAAGACATTTTCTTAAATAAATTGGATTTTTGACATTATGCGTCTATGTTTAAAAATCATTTTTTTTTACATTTTTAGTCAAATCGACTATATTCGAGTATCATTTTGTTTATATTTATTTATTTTGCAAATCAAATTCACATGACCTTCAGAATATTTTCATGGCGTTTTATGAACTTGACAAAGCTAAACAATATTTAAATATGACATAGAATCTTACGTCATTTTGCTAATATATAAAATCTAAAATATTAATGCGCTATTTTCCCATAATAGAAATAAGCCGAAAAACACAATATTTGTCTATCTGACGAGTTGACAGTAGTGTGAAATGAAAATAAAATATTATTAAAAATATTACCACAATGTCATATATTCCACACTCATAAATATTGTTTTGTTTTGAACTATTAACTGGGATTAAGACCAGCATTCTTGATATCCCAAACAACCCATTAACCCTAGTATTTTAATAAAACGAATTTAAATACATTTTACAAACAGTGCAAGGGAAAATTACTTATATAAATTTCTAAAAAGTCAAACCTTTCGTTCCACCCTAATACATAAAACATCCATATATCATAAAGTTGTGCACTTAGCGGTTCGCCTCAAAAGATTTGAAACACAACAAAAACAATAAACAATAAAAATTAACGTGAATAAGTAATTGAAATATTTTTCAAATATAAGCAAAACCGTTAAATGTTGTGCTTCAATGGCGTCTTTTTTTTAAATCAGAAAATCTATAATTAAATGA